AGTTTTGATGCAAAAACGCATGATCGCACCGGCTCGCCTGGTGCGTTCCAGCCTTTGTTACCATTGGATATTAATTTCCCATGGTTGTAATTATATCTGAAAACCGCTCACTTGTCTGGCTTGTTGCAATTATATTTGGAAGCCTCCCTAATCAAATTTTGGTACTTTTTTGGTATGTTAGGTATTTCAGTATTTGAAGTATGTTTTTGAACTTACAACTGCTATGGTTAAAAAGTGGTTCACAAATCATCAAAAAAAAGTTTTGCTATGCTACATTGCTCTTACAGGACCAAACTGGTGCACAGTTCGTTAATATGGCATTTCATTTCTATATGTATAAAGGTTCAGCAACTAAAGTCTGAGATAGTATCTCCAAAAAACCATGTGATAACAGAGGCCGGGCTCGAACTAAATAAATTTCAAAGAAAATTTCAGTGGAAAACCATTGTAAACCTTCCACCCACTGGATCTGCTGTTTCACTTTGTCAATATTACCTAGTGGAAAGTTTTATTTCAAATTCACGCGTTTTCAAACATAGTTGTGGTTTTAGACGGAAATGTATTCGATTATGTACTGGGCGAAAAACTCTCGAATTTCATTAACTTGAGTTCAGAGATCAAAATAATGGACGAATTAGTAATGGTGCCAGGTGGACGAGGTGAATTCGAGGACTGGGTGAACGCGAGCTCGGCGAGCGAACATTGGACATATAGCTATGGCGATTACGAGTGCTATAAAAAAATGCTTGGGAATGAGAACTTTCGTTTCATGGTCGCGAAAACAAAATGTATTTCTTGTATTTGTATCAAGCAATCACGCCAAAAAGTCAGTTGTCAAAGATGATCAGTAGCTCTGTAGCAGTGCAGTGGCTTCGATGCCAGAAAGTTGGTGAAATTTTCGGTGGCTCCGATCCTCTCGCCTGTATATCAACTTCTTTACAAGCAGCACTAATAACATGTGGCTTTTTTTTAAATTTATTAACCTCAAGTGTGAAAGGCTTTTTGAGTGACAACAAGATAATAAATTGTGGCACGGATAAGTGGATTAGTGAACTAGTGTCATGGGTATTTACTGGCGGAAAACCCGCAAGAAGCTAACCAAGAAGAAGCCGCCACAAACAAAAATGCGGAAACCGCTTGTAGAAGGCAGAAAATAAAAAAAAAGATGCATCTTGCCTTGAAAAGCAGAAACACAGAATATGTATTGCCAGACTGAATCTGGAGCACAAGGACCGGTGGTGTAGGGGTAGCATGTCTGGGTGCGAAGAGAAGTGGTTCGATTCCCTCTTGGCTCAGAAAGAGAGAGGGCTCCATTCACAACAAGACCAAGGAGAGCGCAAAATTCTGCTTTAGCAAGCGCATCATCGCAAACACTTAGACATGTCTAATAGTTTTCTTTGTCTTTAGATTACAAAATCAGCGCCTGTTTTGTATTAAAATTACAGGTCGGGAAATAAAAAATGTAAGTTACTTTTAGATTTATGATCTTACATACCATTGGGAAATTTGCTCTTAATGGTGCCTTGTTACAAAATTTGACTCTGTTTGTTGCAAAAGATTATGATAAAAATTTGAATTTTTATGCGTTTTTGCTGTGCAGCGCTATAGCGCTGCTACAGCCAGCAAAAACGCATAT